AGGCACCTTCTGCCAAAGGCTCCAGGACAGACCATGGTTCCCGGCTGCAGAGTAGAGCACGTTCTTCACATCTGGTCCCGTCCTGACTGGGCCAAGGGCTACAGCATGAGCAATCTCCTGCTTGATCTGGGCAAAGGCTTGCTGCTGCTCAGGGGCCCAATGGAAATCGTTCTTCTTGTGGGTAACCAGGTAGAGAGAGCTCACAATCTGGCTGTATTCAGAAATGTGCATTCTCCAAAAGCCTATGGCACCTAGGAAGGCTTGTGTTTCCTTCTTGTTGGTAGGTGGAGACATAGCGGTGATCTTATTAATTACCTCTGTTGGGATTTGACTACGTCCATCTTGCCACTTGACTCCTAGAAACTGAATTTCCTGAGCCGGTCCTTTAACTTTACTTCGCTTAATGGCAAAATCAGCTTTCAGCAGAATTTCAATAATCTTCTCTCCTTTCTTGAAGATTTCCCCTGCTGTGCTCCCCCATACAATGATGTCATCGATATACTGCAGATGTTCAGGAGCTTCACCCTTTTCCAGTGCAGCCTGGATCAGCCCATGACAGATGGTGGGACTGTGCTTCCACCCCTGGGACAGTCGGTTCCAGGTGTACTGCACACCCCTCCAGGTGAAAGCAAACTGAGGCCTGCATTCTGCTGCCAGAGGAATGGAGAAAAATGCATTGGCAATATTGATAGTGGCGTACCACTTTGCTGCCTTGGACTCCAGCTCATACTGCAGTTCCAGCATGTCTGGCACAGCAGCGCTCAGCGGTGGAGTCACTTCATTCTATGCACGATAGTCTACGGTCAATTTTCATTCTCTGTCAGACTTGTGCACAGGCCAGATGGGGCTGTTGAAGGGTGAGTGGGTTTTGCTGACCACCCCTTGGCTCTCCAGTTTATGAATCATTTCATGGATGGGAATTACCAAGTCTTTGTCGGCATGGTATTGCCGGCGGTGTACTGTTGTGGCGATTGGTACTTGTTGCTTTTCAACTTTCAGTAGTCCCACAGCAGAGGGCTCATCTGTGAGACCAGGCCAGGTGTTCAGCTTTCTAATGTCGTCTGTCTCTACAGCAGCTATCCCGAAAGCCCAACGATATCCTTTTGGATTTTTTAAATATCCATTTCTAAGATAGTTTATGCCGAGGATGCATGGGGCCTCTGGGCCAGTCACGATGGGGTGTTTCTGCCACCCTTTCCCAGTTAAACTCACTTTGGCCTCCACTACAGTCTCCTTCTGTTACTCCAGAAATAGAGATGGATTCTTCTCCTACATACCTTGATGGCATCAGAGTACACTGGGCGCCGGTGTCAACCAAAGCCTTATGTTTTTGTGGGTCAGATGTGCCAGGCCATTGGATCCACACAGTCCAATAGATCCGATTATCCCTCTCCTCCACCTGGCTAGAGGCAGGGCTCCTCTATTCCTGGTCTTGGTACACATTGCTCTCTTCCTGTAAATAGGTTCTTGTGGTCTCTTTAAGAGGATCAGTCATATCATAATTCTGATACTGTCTGGAGTTTTGTGCACAAGAGACTGGAGAAATGTTAACTTTAGATGAGCTTCTTGTGTTAGGTGCCCCTCTTTTCAGCTTATGTACCCAGGCTGCTAAGGAGGAGGTGGGTTTTTTATCCCACTTCCTCATGTCTTCTCCATGCTCCTGAAGGAAAAACTAGAGGTTACCTCGTGGAGCGTGTCCTCTCTCCCTGTCTGGGGAACACTGGCTCTTAATGGCAGAGACTCTTTCTGGTTCTGGCGAGATCTGGTAGTTTTCTTCTTTAAGTTCCTTTTTTAGTTTCTGATGGCCCTCTTCAGTCAAGCTCCGGACTTGCTCAATCAGTCTTGTTTTTCCACGGACGAGACATGGGTACAAAATGGGGCTGTGACAGTGTCCTCATAAATTCTTAGTTTATTGGCCAAGACGCCTACCATGTCCTCACCTTCCCTCCACTGCAGCGTTGCCAGGTAACGGGAATACATCTCTGGTCCAAGCCGTGCAAATCTCAACCACATCGGTGACATGCACTGGACACATTCTGGGCTCTTAGGAAATCTCTCATCTTCTGAGAAAATGATCTCCAGCACGGCCAGTTCCCTCAGGCATCGGATACCTTGTTCTATTGTGCTCCATTTTCCTTGGTGCACCTGGACTTCTTCTTTACAAAGGTATCTGTCATTCACACTTGTTAGCAATTGCTGCCAGAGGCTGAGACTTTCTTGGGTTCTCCTGATCCCCTGGTCAATGACCACATCCCAGGACAGAGATCCCAATTGCCTGGCCTCACATCCATCCAGAATGGTGTCATTGGCTGCAGCGTCCCAGATGCGGAGCAGCCAGGTCAAGATGGACTCATTTGTCTGACAGGTGAATTCCCTCCGCAGGTCACGCAGCTCACCCAGGGATAGAGAGCGAGTGATGATTTCTGGCTCTGTCACTTCCGCTGGGTGTGAAGGTCCTGCCACGTCCTCGTCAGTCACTATGTGAACTGATTTGCTGTTCGATTTCTTCTTCTGAACGGGGGCAACCGCTACTGGTCTAGGCTGTTCTGGCTCAGTGATGGTTTGTGTGGAGATGCTGATGGCACTTCTGGCTTTTTTCTTCTCTGTGGCAGTCTGCGTAGACACGGACACTGTTGCTTTGCTTTTGGCTCTTTTCTCCTCTGTGGCAGTCTGCGTAGACATGGACACTGTTGCTTTGTGTTTGGTTCTTTTCTTCTTTGTGACGTTCTGTGCAGACATGGATGAAATTGATTTGTTTCTTTTTTCCTCTTCTTCAAGAATATGCTGCACTACACCACATAGTGTTTCTAAGCATGCTGTAGGCTGTGAAGGCTGTGCAGAGAAAGAAAACAAAGCAGAACTAACAACAATATTATGCTGTCCTTGGCATCCAGCAGGAACTCAACATTTAAAAAAACTGCTGTGTCAGGCCAGAAAGATTAGAAAAAATCATTCTTTACCCCTCCCCCCAGGGGCTGGTGCGACTGTTGAGGCCCCAGATGCAGCAGCCTAGACTAGGACAAGCAAACAAAGTCGAGTATATATTCCGGATTATGTTCATTGCCTCAGAGGTTATCATGCAGTAGACATAATAGGCCAATAAAGCAATTTTTATACCATATCTTGGTCTACACAGGAGCATTACAACCAGCAGATAGTTCCCCATGTGCGGAAAAATATAGAGAGCAAGATACAAAACTCATGTAAGCATGTTGAGAATCATGGTGAATACAAAATTGTGATGCTGACTTTTCTCAGTACCCTTCGTGCCCCACGTCGGACGCCAATAAATGTGTTGGTTTGAAAGCAAAACCAGTCACTAATACAATTTAATAGGAAAAAAGAGAAAAAATAAAATACATGCAATAATACAAAAGAAAAACACTGACAGAGTCAGAATACAACCTGACACCCTGTCAGTCAGGGTGCTGGTAGCAGTCCCATTAAATGGTGGCTGCAGTCCTCCTGGATGACAGATGTGGTTCAGTTGAAGCAGTGCTCCTGTAGAAGGTGCAGTTTTCCTCTGAAAGTCCAGCGATGATGTGGAAAAGGTCCAACTTCCCTCTGGGATCCAGTAGAAAGGTCTGCCTTCACGTTCCAAACCCCAGTTTTTTATCTAGGCAGGAAAGGCTTGGCTCCTGCCCCTGGCTGGAGCATCTCCCAATGGGATGATGTAATCTTATCAGTCACACAATAGGACTGAATGGCCCATTAACAGAATATATCTTCTGGAGGAAGGATGGGTTGTGAAAAGATGATGATGATAATCCCCCTGATTTTATCAGATGGCACACCAGCAGAGGATCTCTCCCACAGAGATAAGGATCATCACCCCTCCCACATTTCAACAGATGGTGATAGGATACACATTTTTGCATTGTACCCCAGGACATCAATAAAGGAGAAAGACTCATGGGAAGTTGTTTTCTCATTTGTTTTGCATAACCCACTCAATTTGAGGAAAATACTCTTACTTTACAATAACATGATACTAGAAGAGGATCAGAGCTGGAACTTAAGGACCTCAGGGTCAGGTGTGACTGTATTTCAAAACATTTTTTGATATGCGTAAGCAGATTTCTGTAACAAATTGAATACAGTATTAGTTATTTCCTACTGAAGGCTTACCTTCTCTACAGCTGTGCTTCTGACACACATTTTGAGTAAGGTAGTAGCCTCTGAAACATCTTTTGCAATGGCTGGAGTTCAGGCACACCTTACAGTGGTCAGGGCAAGGCACACAGGTGTGGTTCAAGTGGTAGTGACCTGGAGGACAGTGATCTCTGCACTCCCCATGATACAGGAAACGTTCCATCCCTCTTCTGTCTGTGTGGCAAACAAATGGAAAAAAGTTGTCAGGCATAAAGAGCATTAGGGGTGTAAGAAGGAGCATTATGAAGTTCCAGTTCCAGTGCTGCAGTAGAGACAATGACTGCTGGATTTTACAGTTTTACACAGCTGAGATGCAGAAAAGTTTCAGGACCACAAACTTCTCACATTCTTGGAGATTTATGGCATATAAAATGTCATGCTAGTGAACAATTCCTCTTTACATCCATCAATCTAATAAAAAAATCAAGATTTTTCCATCACTGAGTTCTCTTGCAGAGGACAAGCAAGTATTTGTAATGCATTGTGCACACAAATGTACACTTATTATTAGGAAAGCAAAGTGGCACACTTCATGTTTGGAAAGAGTCAATCTGTGTCCCTAGAAGATTAAACTGTAATCCTTATTTTCGTAGAATAATCTAGATTTGAATTTAAATAGCAGATGTGTGGCTATTAACTATTACAGCACAAGCATTCTCTAATGCATGAGAACTGGGAGGTCCCCTGCTCCAAATCCTTCTGAGTCAAGCCTGTGAAAACACAAGTAACTTAATGTGCCGTGTGCTGCAGCATGAGGAGTTTTCTAATCAGTTACCCTACAGTATAAATTACACATATAACTGTGCTAAGTGTATTTCATTGCCTTAACTGCAGAGCAAGAATTTGCTTACCAGAATTTAGTTTTGAAAATGCAGAGAAAGCAGCTATAATAGGCAATAACGCTGCACCATAGCAGAAGTTAGATTTTATTTATTTTACTTTTCATGCACAAATCTTTAATTTTCCTGCCTCCTAAGCATGTTAGTCTCATCAGTGTCTTAATTTCTTGATTCACAGAAATACAGAACTATATCTTGCTGTCCTCCATAAGAGAGAGACTTTGGGGAACAATTATACAAACTTGCTCTCTCATTAGACTTGAAATACCATTCAAAAACTTCATCTAGTGAGTCACATTTCCTAAAGTAAGAAAGTCAATCTCATCGTTGGTACAACTAATTAATGCAGCTATACTAGTGTTTGCTTGTAGTCTAGACATTTATTACTAAATAAAGTTCATGCCATTGTTGATTAGGACTGAAATGGAAGTAGCAGCTAAAATGAAACTGCTGCAAGTACCATTGTGAACCCTCAGAAGACAGTGCATAAAAATTACTCTTTATTATAAATTACATCTTAAATACTGATTTCCAAGGACAGTTCAGACTAGTTGCACATACTTTCCGATAATGGCCTCAGGTTTTTTTTGCTCATCAGATGTTAGAGAGTCAATAGGAAATAATTTTTAACACAAAATTTCAAAAGGAGAAGAGTGGCTTTTTGGAATATCCTCAAATTTGTCTACATTAGCCTTCCTCTCAACCTAAGATCTTTAAAAATGTGTGCTGGTGATAAGCTTCTCCTTGCAAACCCTCTTTGTTCAGCTGTAGGGACACAGCAATCTCCAACGGAACCCACCATGCTTGTTTCTTAGCCTTTCCCAGAGAGATGCTTAGGAAAGCAGCCTGGCTCTCTGCCTGCTTGAGCAAACTGGCTCCATTTCAGTATAGCACATCCTGTGCAGTGGGTGGGGGAAGCATGTATGAAGCTTTCTTTTCCAGAAACAGGCTGTAGGTTATGTAGGTTATGTAGGTTTCTGTCCGCTCCCTCTTTTTTTTTTGTTTTTTTTTGTTTTTTTTTTTGTTTTTTTGTTTTGTTTGTTTGTTTGTTTGTTTGTTTGTGTTTTTTATTTTTCTTGTTTGTTTCTGCTTCTGTTAACATAGCTCCTATTGAAAAAAACACCAGGGGAAAGGACAACACAGAGTTGTGTTTTCTTGTACATTAAAAAAAATTGAGTTCTAATTCCCTTCAGAGTCACAAGAAGATTGTGATGCAGATTGGTAGTAAAAGCAGTACACATTTTATTGGATCTAACAACTGGTCCTGAGAGCTGAGGGAAAAGGGAATTTGGAGGCCAAGAGAGGGGAAAAAGCTGGCAAAAGAAAATCTTACTTACCTGTTCCACAAGTGGTGCATTTGTTAGGTTCACTACCATTGCAGTCCAGGCAGGTGTGATGGCACAAGTGACATTGTTGTTTGAATTCAAACTTTCCTCTGGGGCATTGCTTAACACAGCAGCCATCATCAAAGAATCTTTTAAAGAAGGCAGAGCATAATTACAAATTTAGCTAGTACTTGTTCTTTAAATCTAAAGGAAACTGAGAAGAAACTCAATAAATTCTTCTCTCATTCTATTTACAAGCCTTTGAACTTCAAGACTTCGTTTTCCTGATCCTATTAATAGTATTTTCTATATGAAAAGTGTTTTGAATGTGATTCTTAGACTTCAAAGATGATTTTTCTCTGAAATATTTTTCTGAGAAAAATCACCTTTTGGTCCTTGATCTAGATGTCCTTATATCACAATCTCAGTGGTCCCATGTGTCTGCTAAAAGGAAAGCAATACTTGGTATTTCTCCGTGAAGGAATAACCCATTTGTTTTATTTTAAAGACTTTAAAAGTACTATGACTTCAGCAATATGACCTTGTACATGAAGTCAAATATCTCTCTGAATATTGGCCTTTTGGAGCTGTATTTTTAGACTTGCATGTTGTCGTGAGTTAGGAATGGTATTTACCAATTTAGTTTTCCCACTGAAATACTCCAAACCATTCTCAACTGCCTGTCCTTCCTCCCCCTCCTCTGCTGGGGATGGAGAGGAGAATTGGATTTACAAAAGGTAAAGGTCACAGGTTGAGATAAGATCAGTTTACTGGAAACAGCAAAGAAATAAGAAAATTAACAGTAACAACAGCAGTATCAATTACAAAGCGTGCAACAGCTGAACAATTCTCATGCCAGTGCTCACAACCATACTGCAGGGAACCCCTGACAACACCTGACTGCACCAAGCGTGGAAAGGAACCCCTTCCCACACCCCTGGAACTAACAGTGCAGTAGTATAGAATAACTCCAAAATCCTAGCCCTACCTCTCCTTAATTAATTACTGCAATTTAATTAATTAATGCAGTTAATTACTGCAGAAATTAATTCTATCCTGGCTGGAACCAGGACGTGATTCATCTCTATATCATCTGTGCCATGCCCAGATCCCACACCTTCCAGTTATACACCACACATAAGTATGTATACACACATGAGCACAGGTATAATTTCCATAGTCAACAGCTGTTCCACCAAGATGCCTGTTACATTCATTTAGTCCAAGACGATGGGTTCTGCCCATCCAAGATATCTTCCAGGGCAGGAGAGCTGGTGTGTGTCAGCTGGTTGCTGCATCAGGATCTCACAACTTGTGTACCTGGACTGGCTATTGTCCGTGGCAGTTATGGAATACTGTGTGTGTATGTAGTGTCATTCAGCAACAAATATTATACAATTCAACATTACAGATTGTTCGTACACAAAAAATCAAATCCCCTTGAGTAACGCATCATGTTTCCCTGGCTCTCTGTTTACCCACCAGGTCCACCAGGTCCCATGGATAGGTTTACCTTTGCTTGAGGCAGGACTAATTCAATCTATCTTCCATAACACTCCTAATATGCATCACAGAGATTTTATCCCCTTCTACAGTAGATGGGGTTTTGTTTGGGCAGGATGAGCTCCGCTGGCAGGACCTCAGGTGTTAATTAACCACATGTCTTTGCTTTTTTTTTTTGCTTTGGTGCTGTCAACCAGTCTTTTCCATTGGTCCAACCACCTCCAACCATAGACAGTTTGCTATTGTTCATTGAATCAGTGCAAAGATAGAGAAAATGCTGGCCATTTCTCTCATTCAATGATATCTAAAGTCAGCTGAATTGCTTTCAACTCTGCAATTTGGCATGATCCACCTCAATATCTTCTGTGTCTTACTGTGTAGAACTCCCTACAGCTTTCCATTTTCAATGTATCCCTACAGTATCCATCAGCTGAGAGAGTATATTACTTCTCATTTTCTTTAAGTCAATTATGTGGAGGGATGTTTTCAGCCTGTCACTTTCTCCTCCTCTCATGATGATGATGAAATTTTCACCTTTGGGCCATTTCATGATGTCTTCCACAATCCCTGGACAATTGTAGTTTCCTGTTTGAGCCCACTGTGTGATGAGTGCAATCCACTTATTCCATATAGCGTCAGTGGATGATGTGTGGAAGGGACTTTCTCCTTGAACATCCAGCCATTTGCTGACAGTCAGAGTGCCAAGAGGAGCTGTGCTTCCATGCCAGCCCATTCTGAAACAGCTTGAACCCCTAATATAAGCAGTCAGTATGTCCTTTTCAGTTGGGGTGTAGCAGGCTTCAGATCTGTTGTGTCCCTGACTCCAGAACTCCAGTGGTTGTCCTCCACTCTCCCTTGAAGGTGTTTGCCAGAGACTCCATTCTCCCTGGCTGCAGTGTGGAGCACATTTTTTACAACCTGTCCTGTCCTGACTGGCCCAGGGGCTACTACATGTTTAGTTTGCTCAAATGCTGGTAGCTGTTCAAGACCCCTCTAAAAATCATTCTTCTTTCCTGTTGCATGATAGAGATTACAATCTGACTGTAATCTGGAATATGCGTACTCCAAAATCCCACAGCAATTAGGGAAGGCTCATTTTCTTGCTGTTTGGTGTGGACATAGCTGCTATTTTGTTGACCACATCCATTTAAACCTGACAATGACCTCTTGTCATTTTTCTCCTAAAAACTGAATTTCCTGGGACTTCCCTTTGCCTTAGTTTGTTTTATGGTAAAACCTTTGGGATGATCTGAAATATCTTCTCTCAGTTCTCCAAGTTTTCTGCTATGTTTCCCCATACAATGATGTTATCAATGTATTTTGAGTGTTGTGAAGTCTCTGCCTTTTCTACTGCAGTTTTGGTCAGTCCATGGCAAACAGTGTGGCTGTGTTTCCACCCTTGGGGCAGGCAACTCCAGGTGTACTGCACGCCCCTCCAGCGGCCTGCACTCTGCTGCTGAAGGAAAGGAGAGAACCACATTTGTAATAATGATGTGGCACTGCTTTGCTGCCTTGGACTCCAGCTCATACTGAAGTTCACCATGTCTGGTACAGCAGCATTCAGTGGTGATGTGACTTCCTTCAGACCACAGTAGTCCACTGTCAGTCTCCAGTGGATTTACACACTGGCCATATGGGACCACTAAACATTGAGAGGGTCTTGCTGGCCATTCAGTGGCTTTCCAGTTCAGGATCCATCTCATGGATAGGGGTCACTGAGTCCTGGCTGACATGGTGTTATCTTCAGCAGTCCCACAGCAGAAGGGTCCACTGAGAGACCAGGCAAGGTATTCAGCTGTTTAATTTCCTCTGTCTCTACAGGTCTCCCAAAACCCCAATAATCCCCTTTTGGATCCTTGAAATACCCTCTCCTGAGGTAACCTCTGCCAAGGATGCACAGGGCCTCTGGGCCAGTCACAATGGCGTGTTTCTGCCATTCATTTCCAGTACAGTCAGCTGTCCAGTTCCCCCTGTCACCTCAGAAACAGAGATGGATTCTGCCCCCACACACCTTGATGACAAGGTACACTGTGCACCTGTGTCAGCTAAAGACTTAGGTTCTTGTGGGTCTGATGTGCCAAGCCATTGGATCCACACAGTCCCTGATCTGATTGGATCTGATTGTCCCTCTCCTCCACTTAGCTGGAGGCACAGCCTCTCTAGCTCTGGTCATGGTACTCATTGCTATTTCTTGTAAATACGAACTGGAGATCCTTTCAAGAGGTTTGGAAGTAACATCAGTTCTCCTGTTCTGTCTGAGCGCTTGCCAGTGGAAACTGGAGTGGTATATTTCCTTAAAGAATTTCCTGTGGTGGTTGTTCTTCCTCTCAGCTCAGGTACCCATGTTGCCAGGGCAGAGGTGGGTTTTGCATCCCACTTCCCCATATCTTCTCTGTAGTCACAGGAAAAAACACAGGTTACCTTGTTGTGTACTGTCCCTTCCATGCAGTGGGGCATTTGCTCCCAATACCAGAGACTGGTTTGTATTGGTGGGGCATGGGACTCTCTAACTTTCTTGAGACTTTAAAATCTGTCCAAAGTCTTGGACAATCTTTCCACAAGGCCCTGCTTCCTCTTTATTCATCACTAAGCAAACTGAATTGGTCTTGGATTTCTACTTCTATATAGTGTAGGGGCAGCTGCTACCTGCATGTGTTGTTCCTCTGTTTCACCTGCAATTTGAGTGGCCATGGTGCCTGTTGGTCTGATTCCTCCTCCTTTCCCTGAGGGCACTGTCCAGTGTTGACCTGTGTCCATTAAAGACTAGCCAGGGTCCAGCACATTGCAATAAATTACTTGTCTATGGAGTTGCTGTGGAATTTTCCTTGCAAATATTCTGTCACTTTATTATGGTCCTGCAGTCATTCAGGGGTGAACCTCCAAACCATTGGAACAGAGAACTTCCCCCCAGACAGTGCCATTTTCTCCCATATTCCATGTCACTCAAATCTACCCATACTCAGGCAGATCTTTGAATGACCTTCCTGGAAATTTCTTTCTTGACCCTAAATATGGTGTACACCATACTGAGGAGACATACCAGACATAGCAATAAGAACATGCATTCCTTAACATCCAAAGGAATTAAAAAAATTCTCACAAGCTGTCTAAAGGAGAAAAGGGAGGTGATAAGACAGGGAAAATCGTCCACTCCTGCTCTCCCACAGAACAAGTATGATGGGTATGATTATCAATAGATTCTCAAAAGTAGTGCCTGAGATAAGGGTAGAAGAACAACATTTGATACACATCCCAGATAACTCTCACTTCCTTTATCTTGCTACGTCATAAGCTGCTATCAGTCAATACAGCAAGACAGCAATCCTGATCCTCTTCCCTGGTCTGAAACAACACATTGTGAGGTGCATATAGAGCACCTATGGAAGCACATTTAAGGTAAGGTACCACACCCACAAATTACACAAATGCTCAGGTCTGTTGTTACCTCAACCCTTCATGCCCCACACTGGGTGCCAAACAAGGCTGTTTTGGTTTAGATGCTTCTTACTCACTCTCCCATCCCTGTCCCCTGAGGTGGGATGGGGAGGAGAATTGGAGGCACAAAAGGTAAAGAGCATGGGTTGAAATAAGAACAATTTACTGGAAACAGCAATGAAAAAAGAAAATTAAGATTAACAGCAAGAATATCAATAGCAAAGTGTACAACAGTAGAATGATTCACATGGCAGCACTTGCCCCAACAATACCTGAACATGCCACTTTCCATGAGTGTAAAGGGACCCCTTCGCCCACTTCTGGAAATAAGATCAGGTAGCATAGAATAACTTCCCAGCCCTAGCCATACTGCACCTGTCTACTGCAAAAATTAACTCCATCCTGGCTGGAATCAGGGCATATATCTATCTATAAGTACGAAAGAGTCTGGCTGCTAAATAATCTCCTTTTGCTGGGCAATTAAACTTTTGTTAAAGAATCATTTTATGTGATAAAAATTTATGGTCCATTTCTCACTGTTGCTTGATGTCTACTGTTTTAATCTGCTTGGGAGAAAAATAGAAATACATCAATTCATGCATCATTCATAGACTACTAAAAGAATATAAAACATATTGACCAGATTTTGACAGTGTTTCCCTTCCTAAAAAAATAAGAAAGGCTGTAATCCTCAATACTTAACTGCTTTACCACTTTCCTAACTGAGGACATGGAATTCAGTTTCTAGAGAAGTTGAGTGCCATTTCGGCTGTTAGTACAGACTTTGAGTACACCTAGACAACAAAGGACTTTCCATTATATTAAGACAGTGCATGCTTTCTTGGAGTCAGTCAATGGCATTAGAGAATATCTGCAATATGTCCTAGTAAATCTCAGTTGCTATGATCATTTTCAGATTTATACTGAAAGAAAATGAGAAATATGACAGAGGTAACTGGACTATGTTTATATGGCATGCAAATATTACTGAGCTCAACTAGCTCAATGTGCTAGGTCTAATGATAGCCGTCCTTACAAGCAGCTCTCACAGTGGCAAAGTATGTTTTTCTTGATCTTTGTTATGCTGCCCCTAATGGGAAACATCTGGTCAGATGTTGTCACTAACCTTGGCTCAAACCGTAACAGATGGACAAGGAATTTTATGATAATCTGTTAGTCTGGATAAAAAAAAGTACAATTTTTTTTGTCTTTACAAAAAACCAAAAGCAACAACAACAAAAAAACTCAGGTAGCAGCATTTTCATTTATCAAATGATTTAACAGTGATTTTATTATTAAAATAAACTTACATCTACCCTGCATTTTCATAAGAAACTCTTGCTGCTGCCCAAGGCTTCCCTGTATTATTATTTATTTTACTATAGACGGTCCCATTTAATATGACTTTTTCTAGAAGATTTCATAATGTGAAGAAGGGTCTCAGAAACATTTTTGAAACCTTAGATACCAAAATTCAGAATTTTTAGAGAATTTATCATGGTGGTTAGAGCAGCATCCTTTCAAAAGATCATTGAGACCTCATTACTACAAACACCTTGTAATGTTTATGGTTCAGCATAATGGTGCTTGGTTCCTTTGCTTTGTAAATATCTGCATGTAAAGTTTACAATATAAGTTCCAGGAAGGAACAGACAATCTCATTTAAATGCCATTGTGAATGGGAAAAACCCACTCCACAGTCCAAAATTCTGCCCAGATTTCCTCTGCTCTCATTTCTGATGTACCAGAATTTAATAATGTTTCCTCACTTATGAGTTTGTTTGGACTCCATTGCTCCTGGTATGTCTTTCATTGGCATAGTCATATAATAGATATTTTCAGGGCAAACTGCAGAATTGCTTAGAGATTTTCTTTGCTTGTTGTTTTCATACCAGTGGAAATGTCAGCTGGCTACAAGACAATCCAGTGCAACAGAACCAGAGTTATTTGTGTGAGAACACAGCTATGAGTAGGAGGTATACAAAAACAGTAGTCTTCTGGAATAGGTGTGACATGACCTAAACACAAACCTGGTTTGCAAAGTCCTGTGGAAAAAGCATCTTTCTAGTTCTGTTCAATCCTCATAGCAGGTTATAAATATTGGACTAACCCATGACCCCCCTCAGTTAGGGAATGATGTTTAGGTGCTATGAATATATCCCAAAATTAGCCTCAACATCCATACTCAGGCCTTGAGCCAATCCTCATAGCTGGGCAGAGCTACAGATGTCCTAGATTCTTACTGTGGAAATTGTCAGTTGTAATTCCAGCAGTCATGATTTAGAAAGGATGACAATGAAAGAAATTCTATTTTATATATAAAAAGGAATTTTTCTTTATCTCTGGCAACCATGCTGCTGAACATTAACTGCTTGTTATAGACAGCTATTCTGTTTACATAAAAATTGTTTTCTGAAGTCCCTTGGATTTTTTGCCCTAGACACTTCTTGCTTCCACAGTCTCTGCTAAACATAATACAGCCTCTTCTCCAGATGATGATGTGAGATCTTTGTATTGCACTGTGCTAGGAGACAATTACCTTGTGGGTGGGCAGCTGATGCAATTGTCTGACTCAGGTCCAATGCATTTCTGACAGGATATATCACACAACTGGCATTCTTGGGAATCATCAAGATATTCCCCTGGTAGAAAGAAAAAAGGTTTATTTCAGGTCAGTCTTCTCACAATTTAAAACAAAAACCAAAAGGAAGAGAAAAAAATACAAAACTCTTCAGGTTGGAAAAGAATGATGAAGAGGAATTGGATCTATTTTTAGTTACTGAAATGAGCACATTTCCCTGTGGCATCAGGAAAACAAGTACTGGCTCCCTTGGGGAACCAGGATAATCAGAGCTGTTTGTTTGCTTGTTTGCTTACTAATTTTTCTTTTCCACGTGAATTTGAGAAAGAGTGATTTTTGGCTTTGTTATTTTGCATCAGTTGAAGTAATGCGACCCTTAAGATTCACAAGTTACATCAAAATTAGTGCTACTGAGGAGTATTCATTACGTAATGTCTTTTGACCTAGATTGCAAGCTGCAGCATAAAGGGTTTGCTGTCATGGGTGTGGATGTGTTACATGAGGAGATAGACTTGAGCAAGATTCCATCAACCAGAGATCTGTTGGTGCTTCCCAAACCTCTAGCTATGGCATATTTTATCTCCCTCCTGAGTTGCTGATGGAAGTCTCCCTACGTAAAAGACCCAAGCTTTCATTTTGGCTGAATTGAAATTTGGTGCAAAAGTGCACATTTGGACTTGAAAAGAAATTTTATATTATATGGATTTCTACCTCAAAACTGATTAATTATATTAATAATTAAAACACTGGTCCAAAGTGGTAAGCTTCATGCCTAATAACTCTCAGGGCAGAGATTTGGTAAGTAGTATGAATACTTTATCTCTGTGCAGCATCATGTGGGGACAGTAAATTGATTTATCACACAGTTTTATAAAGCTCAAGATTGAGTCTTTTATGTCAGTTTGGTTTGGGAAAATTTGTTATAACTGAGTCTATATATTTAAGGAATTGGCTGTTCCTTCATTCTTGAGTAACGGAAGAGGCTGGGCAAAAAGTCCTATATAATACATGAAACCTGCAGTTTCTATGGACATTTCAATATCAAGCAACTTTTTCCAATTGCATCGTGGCTGGAAAATCCAGATCTGGCAAATATAGTGAAAACTTTAGGAATCAAAACACAAATATGGAATGACTCGGGCTTGGCTTTCACTTGCAATGAATTCCTTACATCTGAAGAGCAAAGGCACCGTACAAGCAACCACTTATATCAATTTAAAACAATGCAGGGAGGAAAAATTTTCTAAAATACTACAAATTATGTTCTCTGTCTGTAGTGTTTTTAACAGTTGTGTTTTTACATATATAAAAAAAATTGTAATAGTTGAAACCTCTGGTATGAGATATGAGCTAGGATAGTACATACATACCTAAGGGGATGGGAACAGTATAGGCAAAAAGGCAAACTGACTCGAACATCTAGCCAGCTCTAGGTGAAACCTGGGGTGCACAAAATGTAGGCAGAGATGTAACGTTTCTTTTGTAATGATTTGCGTGTCTTCTAAAGGGAGGAAAAAAGTAAAAGACAAGACAAAAGCCAGTGATGGAACCACATAAACCATGAAGACAATGCTCCTCAGCTTGTTCTGGGATCAGTGCTAGCTGGAAAGAAGTTCAGACTGGGAGAAAATTAAGAATTTCCCTATGAATTCAGGGAAACAAAAGTCTTTGAATATGTACATGTTCACACATTTTTATAGTTCTCATTATCCAAGGACCAACTTGTGTACATCTATATCTGTATCTCTATATATCTATTTCCATGCATTTATGTAATCCCTTGCATGCCCATAAGGGCCAAACCTTCAGTTGTGTAAACTGACTAGTTCCATGGAACTGATGCAGCATTTATGAACTGCAACACTGCATATCATATGAGTAATTGCTTTATAGTGGACTAAAACGAAAAATATTAAAAAAGCTGTTACACATATAATTCAGTAGGATTCTAAATTTTTCTAGATGTTACTCAGATAACATTGTTGTATTGATGCATATCTATCATAATACTAAATATTTATAATTTTCACCTTCTTGAAAAAAATACTGTGGCCTTCAGGCTATTGACAGATTTCATTAATATAAGCCTCTTGAGCCTTTTTGATATGTATCCAGAGAATGCAACATGGAATCCCACGTTCTTAAAGACTTTATGAGATCTTAATATATAATTTAGTCATGGTTTGGGAATGGTATTCCCCAATTCTGTGACCTCACTGAGACCCATCTAAACCAGATGCCACTCACTTGCTTCCCTCTCCTCACTCCTTTTCCCTCCCTCTTTCCTCTCTGGGGATGGAGTTGAAAATTAGAGTCACAAAAATGTGAAAATCACAGGTTGAGATATGAACGATTTACTGGAAACAGTCATGAGATAAAAAAATAGTAATAGCTACAATGTTAATAGCAAAAGATTGAAATTATTTACATGGAAAATAAGACAATACTGGACTGTTTTGCCTCCACCCTTTCTCTCACCACTGGAAGGAGACAGCAAGTGTCTTTGCTCGCCCCTCAAAAGTGATGTGAGATGGGATCCAATAATATAAGGGTCTGGCCATGCCTCCTTCCCAGATAGTATAAAAATTAACTTTGTACTAGCTGAAACTAAGACAAATTTGAGATATATCTACATATACATATATATGTATATACAGAAACACACACACATATATTTGGACAATAATACAACCACAAAAAACCGCAGTATCTGAAAAGACTTCCCATTGCAGGTCTGATGCTTGAGTGTTTTATTTTATTGGGTTTACATCATTGGGAAATCTGTCAGGGTGATTTCATTACATAATTGCTTTTCTGATGTTGTTTTGTGATGTGCATTAGAAAACTTTGCTGTTTCTCCTTTACTTTATTTGCCTACACTACCTGTGTGCTTACCCTGTGTGCCTATCCACTGGACCTAAGCTACTAATCCATGCATCTCAGCTGTGCATTCAAACATAGCAGAAGTACTTAGTTTTTAAAGGTTTTAGTTATTTCTATGCAATGCCTTTCATCGGAAGTGGTGTAATTAATTTCAGCTGCACTTGGAATAGTGCCAGGAAGACCAGTTCTGTGGCACTGAACTGAAGCATTTTAATGAATACTATTATAAGAATATGCACCAGAAAATACTTATATATTTGGCCCTCTGAATTGCACATCACATCTAGAACTGTAGATCTGACATGTCAACAATATTGTTTTTGGTGAATATTCAAACAGTTAACACTGAAATTCAAAAAAGAAGACTTTTCAACTATTTCACAGGGCAGTTCAACCATCTGCAAGAATTCCCTGTGAGCAATGTATTTCTTTACAAATCTTGCTAGATAAATACAGGCTGCCAAAGCGTGAATATTTTTCTTCTTTTCTGTATTAGAAATCTTTATCTGTCTAACATACTTAATACAGGAATAATCTCAGCCATGTGTCTTCACTTAGCTTTCAATCAGGTAGTGATCATCAGTTACTTCGGATCATCTCATATTTGTCATTCATTATTGTGGTAGTTCTGCCACCTTGTTACCTTGTTTAAAAACATTTGTCACATTGTTAAAAAAAAACGTATTGGATCTTGTAGGAATAATGATATGTTAAGAGACTTGAATCTCATAATAGAAAGATTTTAACATACAATTTTTGTGTCCATAGTTAGAAATGTTTAACTCCATATTTGGGCTACATCAGGTTTCAGGTTGTGCCTTTAACTGCATACAAAATCCCTATACTTAATGCTGAGTTCTTATCAGATGCTTTTTAAAGTGAGGTAAGAACTAACCCTCCCATTAAGGAGGTAGAAACCTGAGTTGCATTAATATAATCAAATTAGTTTCAAATAGCAAACAAGAACCTGTCTCTCCCGAGTCCCACTCTGGAGCACTTGTCTTAGCTGCCAAGTCATTCTATGTCTCTGCATAAACAGCATCAAGTGTACCTTTATCTTGTCACTATTTCTCTCTTACTTTCCAAATCCTGTGGCATTCATTGACAGCACATGATATTTCAGGAGATCAGTTAGATGAGGGTGTGAATATCTTTGTCAGTCATGCATGGAGGTATGGACTTTCATGTGCTGGCTGTCATAAATCCTTTTCTCTTGTAGTCCCTCTGTAAGACTTAGTCACTGCAAGCCACATGTCACTTCCCCACTTTGATCAAAACATCATTTTTTATATAATCTAATCTAATCTAATCTAATCTAATCTAATCTAATCTAATCTAATCTAAAATAACGAATTTTAAAATATTCTTTATTGTCTACAACATTGCTGCAATGGCTTTTCCTTAAAATCAATGGAATTGGAATCAATGGAATCAATTTCCTTCATTTTGCACGTTTGCTTTCATGGAAATCTGGATATGGATTTCATACTTGGGTTCTTTGTATATAATCTTATGGGTTATAAAGGTTTGTCAAAGCAGATAAACAAAAACTGCTCAGAATTGCATTTCATCCATGAGCTACGAGAACTGAAATAAATTGGTCTTAGGGAGCTCTCTGCTTTTTCTCATGTTTGGCTGTGATACATTTTGTCTGGCTCATGGGATCAGGTCCTTGAGTTCTCTGAAGAAACATTAATTCATAAAGCTTAAGTAGATAACTAACTTGTAGAAAAATAACTTGCATATAGAAATCCATGCAAATTCACCCCGGAGATTCTTTTTAAAGTTACTCCTTTGCTTAGTCCAAGTTTTCAGTGTTCGATAGATTATTCCTTGAAAGAAATCTTGCCATAATGTCCATGTTGTAACATTTTCAAGATGAAGACATTTCCTTTACCCTCGGATTTGGCAGTAGAACAAAATTCGCATCTGGTTTCCAATTATTTGTCTGGCTTCAGTTTTCAATCTCCTGCTAATTACACAATGTCCAAATTTCTGACTCCCCATTCAGATGCACAGAAGTGACAAAACTTTTGGGTATTATGATTTGAGGTGATGAGAAGGAACCAGGATTGAAATCTTCTTTTCAGAAGTGCTCTAGGCAGTGACAAATGAGAAGGCTGAAAATAGGATATTGATTCCTAAGTCACTAAATCTCCCCCTTGTGCCAAGAGGCAA